ACACACACACACACACACACACACACACACACACACACACACACACACATCCCCTGTAGCAACAGGCCATCATAGGTGTGCTGAAATATCTGCCATGTCCAGAGCTAGCTGGTCCAGAAGCCACTGCCCCCCAGATCATAGTGTTCGAAAACACAGCCAGAGATGGCCGTGACCGAGACTTAAGTCCTAACTGTGCTCTGCATACCCAATGCCCCACAGAACTGGACCCATTGCGAGTGCCCAGAAAAGTGCTTGCTAACCAAGGGGGCCACATGGAATCATTTCTAAATGCCCCGAAGAGAACCCAAAAGAAACCCTAAAACACCCTAAAGTCATTTCTCCCAGAATGTTTGAACCAAAGAGGTCCATGCTGTCTCCGACGTGGGGCAGCCCACCAGGCCACTGACAGCCATGGCCACTCACCTCCCATTATACTTCTCCATTGGTCCGTGCACTCGGTGATGCTTTCTGGGCTCTTTTGGTTAATTTTCCTGGAGTTAATCAGAGCTTGGACAAAGAAGCAGTAGCTTCCTCCTTGATCCACATCAATGGAAAAATTATTAGTGCTTGTAGTGGCTTCTTTCTGTGAAAAGATAAAGAGCGCTTAGTCCGTCGAGGCTCAGCACGAATTCTTTCCCCTTATTTAGTCACTGAGGAGGGTGAAACCTGGGATCTAACCAAGCTCTGTGCAGACATCATTGACATAGAAGGATTAGAAGTTACTGGGCCGACCAGTAACTCCTGATAACTGCTAAGGATGCCTTCACCAAGGCTGAAAAGGTACAACTGAGGTACATCCAACTCAGTTCAGCCCCTTTTTCTATAGGGAAAAAAAAATAGAATCACTGAAGAGGCTACATTTGGGGGCCAGGGATGTAACTCAGTGGTAGAGAACTTGTCTGGTGTACCAGGCCTGGGTAACAATCCCCAGCATCACAAAGCGGCATGCACACATGCACGCATGTGCACACACAAATTAATTAATAAGTCATCCCCCGGCCCCAGCCCTCGGAGATTATCTGGTCCAGCTCCTTGGTTGAGAAACTGGAATGTCTGAAAGGACCTGCCCCAGGGCACAAGGCAACTAACTCAAAAGTGACAGGAGAGCGAGGACCTGTCGTCCATACCACCGTGACAACCCCTAGTCTGCTGTATTTGAACTAGGAAAGAAAGCAGCGGGCCGTGGAGAATCAAGGGTCTATAAAACAAGGCATAAAAATGAATGAGAAATTTCTCACCTTTCCTGTGCTCGCGTCTCTCCGATAAAAGAGTGTGTAACTCAAGTCCTTGCCGAAAACGTCCCGCAGGGTGAGGAAGGTGCCGTTCCGTCTGACCAGCGTACGCGGGTCTTCTACTGTCACGTTCAGTTTCCGACCAACTTGTTTAAAACTCTTAATTACTGGCTGTCCGAGTTTTGCTGAAATGGAAAAAAAAAAATTAAATTACCTTGGCTGGAAATTACAATCAATACAAAGAAAAGATCACTTAGTTGTCATAATGGACAGCTCCTCCATTGTTCAGATAGAACATCTGTACAGAATCAGCTCCAGGAGCAGGAGTGGTGGAGGCTCCTGGAGCTGAGTCCAAGACAGCACATGACAATGCCATCCTCTGGAAATACAAGGAGAGCTTTCATCATTAGAAAATCTGAAAAGGAACTGGTGGAATTAATTTTAATAGTAAACTTCAATAGGTCCGTTAATAAATTGGCATTTTAACATGCAATCAATATAAACACTTTATGGATATTTTACATTTTTCAAAAACTGGCATATATTTCATCTTGGCAGCATTAGCCATATTTCTAGAGTTTGGTGGCCATGTGTGGATGATGGAATGTACATCGTCCAATGCAGCTTTGCAAGCTGCCATATTTTAGCTATAATAAATTAGGGGCCGGGAAGCCCAAGAGGTGTCCCTGGTCCACCCAGGAATCCATTTTAAGCTTTTGGTTCCTGGTTCAGTTACCTCCTGTGCTCTGGTTATATGATGGTCAGATAAGTCCTCACTCTATGCAAGTCGAAGGACAGTGTGTGTGTGTGTGTGTGTGTGTGTGTGTGTGTGTGTGTGTGTGTGTTCTGCCATGTACCACAAAGGATCTGGCCTGGCTTACTGAAAGCTCAAGAACTATAAAGGATAGTCATGGCTGGGGGAGAATGATTGTCAGTGAGCCTGCATGAAGATGAAGCAGAAACACAGGGGGAAAAACACAAGGGAGTCTGAAGAGAGGGCCTTGTCAATGGAGACCCTAGGAATTCGGCCACATTCACCTGGGTAATGAGACCATCAGAGCAATTATCAAAAGTAAAATTCTGGTCGATTGTCCCTTACCCATCCATGTCACAGTGCTGTCAGAGGGGTACAGATGGGATCACCAAAAATACAACACTCTTGTTTGACCCAGCAGGCCTTGCAAAAAGGAGTGGAGTTCAGTCTTCCTACTATGCTGCATGTGCTTATGAAATGTCTACTTCTGAATCACAGTCCTGACAGCCTCCCCCACCTCCTGGCAAATCGCCTACTTGGCGGGAATTCTCTGCACACTGGGCCAAAGGTGGAGAAGAATGCATGCTACACATTCAAACCCAGTACGAGGGAGGCTGGCCCAGAGCTGCAGGTACTAGCTCATCTGGGGATCAAATGAACTCAGCTGGTTGAGGAACCAATGCACCAGATTATAGGCACAAGCGAGCTTCCCTGTGGACCTGTGCTTGTTTGGGGAAAATCCTCAACTAGGACCTCTGATCTGATGAAGGGATTGGAAAATCCATCGTGTGCCGAATATCTTGATAGAGTATCCCGAGGAAAAGCCACAACCCTAGCCTTGATGCAACCTCCAGCTGGTTACTGGTAGGAACTGAGGGTAGACAGTAGATGGCACAATGATCAACACACAAGTTCACGTTCTGTGGACCTCCTGCCACGCCTGCAGAGAGCGGGAGCACATTTATTAGATGTGCATCTATCTCTCTGTGTATAGAGACACATGTTTAATCTAATGGCCAGTAGGGGTCACAAAGCACAAGAATATACAGAAGACTAGACCAAGAATGAAGGCATTACAAGCCAAGCTACTTACTGTCTCGGTAAGGTAAAAATTCTGGGGCATTTGTAAGTGGTGGGTTCCCCAAATAAGTGTTATTTCGTGGGACAGATAGGACCCTTGCTTGATAAATCCGGCGCACATCCTGTACGATCTCATCTGTGAGGTCACACTCAGTGTTTGGGGTTAAGAAGCATTTGATTTTCCAGTCACTAGATCCAGAGCTAAAGGAAGGAAGGAGAAAAAGAAATGGGATGTTAGGGTCTTGTGTCCACCAGGATGAATGGATTCCTAACAGAGTGCTCTGTGCTACCAACTGGCAGCTACAGGGAAACCTGAAGAGGCATTCCCCACCCTGAGCATTTGATATACAAATGCAAGTTCACTGGCTCTGCTGGATTTTTTAAATTAATCAGTTAATTTTATTTAATATGCATTGGTGTTTGCCCTGTATGTGTATGTGTGTGTGTCTGTGTGAGGGTGTCAGGTCCTCTGGAACTGGAGCTTACAGACAGTTGTGAGCTGCCATGTGGGTGCTGGGAGAGCAGCCAGTGCTCTTATCCACTGAGCCATCTCTCCAGCCCCCTTTTAAAAATGCGTGTGAGCACAGAAGGTCAGAGACACTAAGTCACCCAGTAACCGGTGGAAGAGCTGGGTTTGTTAGCCTCACCACGCCACACGCTAACTGTGACTACAAGAATGAGAACACACCTCTCCAAAGATCCGAGACAGCCAATGCAGGTAATACCCATTTAAACAAAGTCTGAGCCTCCGAGGGCGGAGGACAGATCTTTCGTTCTTTCCCCCACCCCACTGCTATGAGAGCTCTGAACATGCGGGCTCTCTTTGGACCAAGAGTTCTGATTTTCATCTCTCTACCAAGCAGCGTGGCTTCGGTGTGTGCTGAGTATGAGACTGCTGCCCGTTCAGGGTGAATACACACTTCCTACGACCACACACATTAAGAAGAATCCAGCGCCGCCTTAAAGAGATTATAGCAAATGAGGTTAACATGTGCAAAGGGGCCAGCATGCTATCTGGGATATGGAGAGTCAGTGGTTGACTAACCATCTACGATGATCATGGCAGAATGTGATTACGTAGGGAATCTATTATTGATAGACTTTATTATCCAACATAGATATAGAATATGATACAATGAGCAGGGGTGTCACACAGAGATTCAATTATCTAAATCCACACAGAAGAGGCACAAATGTGGATTCTTCAAAAACATAACCAGATTAAAAGAACCTGGGTACATATGTCCTTTATCCTCAAAGTTACACACTAGCATTAAAATGGGAACATTTTAGCTTCTTGTATTTTTTTTTTTTTAATTTTCTTCTATGATAAGTATAGAGGCTGTTTGGATCCAGAATGGCTAAAATGCACCTTGATCACATCTTTTCCATATCAAAAGCCAATGGTGAGCTTCTTGGTGGCTTCTTTCCACCAAAAAGACAAACAGGTCGTTTGGGGGTTAGGCTCTGGGTGAGGACATACAGCGGAGAGGTGCGGTGTTTTGTTCCACCCAGCTCACAAGTAGGAACACGTGCTCTCTGAAAAAACTTTAGAGCAGGGGCCTGCATCATCCCGTGACAGCAGGTCAATGAGAGGACAGCTCTCCAGCGAGGTCCTCTGGGTGCTGCTAAGAGCACAACCACTTGAAAAGTCTTCAAGGTCCCTCTAGGTTAGTGAAAAAAAAAACCCCAAATTTGGAAATAAAAGTCCCTCCTAGTTTCCTGAGGAGTTCCAACAGAAAACAGGCATTCGCTAATTGAGTTAGAGGCTGTGTCTGGACGCTACTAAATTCAGCTCCAGAATTCAGCACACACTATGGACTGGGTGGCCCAAGTTGTGGTGTGGTGCTGAGGCAGGGCCTCTGATACTTCCCAGCTACCGCTGAGCCTATTTTCAGAGAAGATGCTGTGGAGACTCAACCGAGGGGCTTTGGTACCCCAGAGCTGCCCTTGGGCCAGCACCACACAGCCAAGCTTCAGCAGTATGGGTGGAGGTGGGGAACAGGGTCCCCTGGTTAAGGTGCTATCTCCTTGGGGAGGAGATGAAAAAATAAAGGAGATTCAGGAGAAGCAGTGACGAGCGAGGCCCTCCTCTCTACCTTGCATCAGACTGACAGACTCTACGGAGGATGTGGCACACCTCAGTTCCAGGCAGCCTGGCACTCAGCAGCAGCAGTCAGGGTAGGTCCCTGGCTTCCCCGGGGCAACAGTCTCATAGAGAAAAATGACTGCTATGATTCCCTTAGTCCTGGAATCCCCTTTCCCCTGGGAAGAGTGAAGGCTAGCTCAGGTCTCAGGTACTGACTGATGGAAATGCTTCCAGGATCAGCCAGCTGAGCAGCAAGGGCCTGAGGAGGGTGACCTGACCCGTAGGATACCCAAGTCTGAGGGCGTTCCTAAGCTGTGCCCTGAGCTCTGGTGTTTGCAGATCATGAGCTCTATTCATCTCAATAATGACCACCTTAAAATCCCCCCAAACTTACAGCTGGTAAAGGCTAATATTTCAAAAATCAAGTCAATCCAAGCTACATTTCCAATGCTGTTCCAATTAAGACAATATATTTAGAAGATAATAATTCCTCCCCAAATCTAATCTTCATATCTAGAAGGAAAGTGCTTCCTAAGGTAAATGCCAGGTTTATACAAAGGAAATTACTTTAACAGCTCTCAACAAATAATAACTTGTTTCGAGTCAGAGTCTCACTATGTAGCTCCAGTTGGCTTTGAACATATATGTAGCCTTGAACTCATAATCCTTGTGCTTCATATGACCAAGGTGTGCAGGGATTACAGGTGTGTTCCGCCATTACCAGTTCAACTCAATTGATTATGTCTGGGATCCAAGCCTTTGTATATGGTAGAAAAGGACCCTACCACTGAACCCTATCACCAGCCTTTGAACGGATAAGTTGGACCACAACGGTAATTACAGATTAGGAAATGTCTTTATCTGCATATATCTATGCATAGCTACACATGCATGTATGCGTGCATGCTCACACTCAAGTTCTCTTCGCTTTTGGTTTGGCGATAGTGACGGAGTTCATTTTGAAAAACAAGAGAGTCCTCGGAAAGACCCACACCCGAGAGTTGCGCCCTAGTACTACAAAAGGTTCGGCACAAGCTGGAGCCACAGAACACAGAGGCAAAAACACACTTGACTTTTGCCAGTGACACTCTTACATCTCTGCATCATCGCTATTAAAATAATTTCCACACCAGGCAGCCTCAATTTCCCAAGTTCCTTGCACATCTCCTCCTACCTATCAGAAACCAAAGGCTTGCCAAGAATACGTGAAAACCATCAAAGGGAAACGTGGCACACCCTGATACTTAGATTTCAAGTGTTGAATTACTTGTTCCTGAGAGCTGTCAGTCAGTGAACAGGCTTGAAGGAGCCCAACGGCCCTCAGACAGCAAAGGATATAGACAATCCAGCAGTGTTTACTAAGCAGCTCAGTGAGTCAGGAACTTGGCCTCCACCAAGACCATGAGTACAACCAAAATTTGATTCACAGAGTCCATAGATGAGTGAACCCAGCACGGCTTCAGGGCAATGTAGACTCTGGAATCCCTCCTACCTCTGCCCGACATGCCAGGAGCAGCCCAGTCTAGACAGCTAGCAACCGGAAAGGCACATTGGTGCTTATAGGAGATTAGCCGCCATCAACCCCAAAGCATACTATAAATGCCTGGGTGAGCAGGCTCGCCCCTCTAAAGCTTATGCACTTAATAGTTTTCCTATACTTTCCTCCAAATAACTAGACATTATATCATTTTATTTATTTGTTTTTTATTGTTTATTTATTTTGATACAGGATCCCATGTATTGCAGGATGGCCTGGAACTCCATATATACATATATATATCAAGACTGACTGTGGATTTTTAATCGTACTGCCTCCACCTCCTGAGTGACACCATGCCAATTCTATGCATCGCTGGGGATCTAACCCAGGGCTTTAAGTGTGCTAAGTAAGTACTCAACAGACTGAGGTGTGTCCCCAGCTCTTGTCCTATCAGTTTAAAGTATGGAAATGTTCCACCTTGATGGGACATGACAGTGGCCGCCATATCACTGTGAAAATTCTATGATTTGCTAAATAGCCTCACCTCACATCGGCTTTAAAGAGTTGGTATTAGTGCACAAGAGCTGGAAGAGTAAAAACACTATCTTTTTGTCTTTAATTTAGCTTACCTTATCTCCACATTGTAGACATAATCGACAGGTTTGGGTTTCCACTCCAAAATTGTCTTGAAATTCATTGATTTCCAGGTTAAATTAAACGCTTTTGGTGGAGTACCTATAAACAACACAAAAGAACCATAATTGCATGCACTTCTGTGATCACGAAACACTTTCCCAGCCTCAAAAGGAGCACATTTTAAATGTCAGTTACAAAAATGTTGCTGACTTATAAAAAAGTCTGTGTGTGTGTGTGTGTGTGTGTGTGTGTGTGTGTGTGTGTCCATTTTTTTTTTTCTAGACCCATTTCGTCCTCCTGGCAACATCCACACGCAGTCCGTGGAAACGGCTAAAGACCCTGAAGTTCTTGCTTGAACTATTCAAGGGAAAGCCCCCTTCATAACGACATGGAAGGAGCGCCCAAGGTCCACTCACCGTGCTAGAGAGTCCCAGACCCTTCTGATGTGGTCAGGCTCAAAGTAGAGGCAGCAACGAAGGATTTGAATAAGTTCAAAAGAGGGTACGTCCCACACACGTGAGGCGAGTCCGGAATGCGCATAAACGAAAAAAGCCAAACTTGACCTTTCCGATTGTAATCTAAAATATCTCTACACTGAAACTCCCACGGAGAGCAAGGTAAGCGGGCGGCCCACGTGGCACCTGTCACATGGTGGGATGCCATTCCATTAAAACACTCTGTTACTAACGTCTCTTTTTCCAAGTCCTCGGGTTTCCGTCTCAGTCTCACCCCAAACATAGGGCAGATGTGGGGTATGCACTCTGTCTTGCCCGAGTTTACAACAGGATTGCTTCTATCAGATCTAAACTAAAGGCCACAAGGGCAGTTATTTATTGCGGGAAGGCGCACACCTTTTCAAAGATAAAATGCAAGCCACGGAAAGCACGCCGACTTGGACAGAGGCGGACCCACGGGCCCGCCACCTTCAAGGGCACAACTTCCTAGGAAGCTCTTTCCTCAAAGTCAAAGCGGGAAGGAACCCCAGATCATTATGCAACCGCGGTGGACGCACAAAGCAGGCATCTCCAGCGGCGACAAAAGCCAGGGGGTCAGGCACCAACTGCCTTCCCGCCCTGCGTTCATTCAAACCCTCAGGACAAGTGCAGCTTATCCCGTCCACAGGTGCGGCGGGGCACGTTGGGGTCCTTCCCCCAAGAAACCACAGCAGCCCCCAGCCAGCCAGATCTGTTCCTTGTCTCCGGGGCGCCACGAGATCCCCATGACCAGTGCCACTCACCTGCAGCCACGGTCACCTGGGCAAGGAGGCAGCCGAGAAAGGTGGGCGCGAGGGCCGCTAGGAGGCGCGGGCGCACGGGGATCGCCATGTCCAAGGGCTGGTGGCGCGAGGTCGCGAGGCTTCGGCGGCGGCGCGGAGGCTGCGCTACGGGGAAGCGATCGGAGGGAGCGGGAGATGGGTACCGGCTATACCCAGGCTGCCGGGGTCCCCGCGGGGCGCGTTATAAAGGGCCGCGCGCGGCCACCGGCGCCTCTCCACCCCGCGCCGCCTCCGCGGAGGCCAGCGACTCCCCGCCCCCCAGCCCGGGTCACTCGCCTTCGCGGTGGGCGGCTCCCGGTCAATCCACACCCCTGCCCCGCCTCCTCCCATAGGAAACTCCGAGACCCCGAAAGGGGTGACTCACCCGTGATTCAACCGCGCCGCGGAGCACCGAGCTGCCCCTTCGGCGCAGGCGGATCCAGGTGCTGCAGAGAGCCAGGCTGCCCCACCGATCCCCGGATGACCAGCCTGGGTGGCTTTCGAAGAAGAAAGGAGTCGCGTTGGAGGGACCTGAGTTGAAAGTCAAGGGAGCCTTACTTTCCCTGTGCTTTCCATGTAGTCTGCGCCCCTAGCAGAAGATGTATCAGGGTCCCTAATAGAACAGGGCAGTTCCAGGCTCTGCCTGAGCACCCAGTGGTTAGCAGAACATTCGGCCAGTCCCTTGGTACATTGTGCAGGGCGGTGCAGTAAATACACGTGTCTGCCATGGACAAGTGCCCTGGATTAGATCTAAAGGCCACTTGGCATCCCCTCCCCATACCCACCCCGTCCCCGTTCCGGTTCCCAGCTTCAGAGGATGACTGGGGAACTGCAGTTTAAAGTCCGGGGAGAATTTGAGCATGACTTTTGTAGCCAAGGGGTTCCAGGAAGGATGGTTCTCACGTTGAGGAAGACAGCTGTGGGTTTAGAGGGAATTCCTCCCAAATACAGAGAAACAAAAAATGAAACCGAAAAATAAGTAACATTCGGACTTCCAGTTTTATTTGTTTGTTTTTCTTTCTAGATGCTGGGAATGGGGAGCTCACCCATTCCAAGCACAGCTCTGTCACTGAGGCTAGTCCCAAACAGGTGTCGCTTGCAAGCTTGGGTTTTCTTATTTCCTGGCTTCCTTTTTCTAGGTTTTGCTGTGAAGCTGGTCAGGTCTGAGAATGTCACTTGTCATATTGGTAGCGTTTGTCCCACATCTTGTCAAAAGAGTTCTCATCATTCCTTGTCGACTGTTCAACTTATTCCTTCCTTTACACCAGGGGTTCTCTCCCTTCCTAATCCTGCAGCCCTTTAATACAGTACATGTTGTGGGGACCCCAACCATAACATTATTTTCTTTGCTACTTTCATAACTATAATTTTGCTACTGTTATGAATGGTAGTGTAAATATCTGTGTTTTCCTGTGGTTTTAGGGGACTCCTGTGAAAGGGTCGTTAATCCCTCACGAGGTTGCGAAACACTGCTTCATACACTTTCTTTTTTCACTTCCTTTAGTAAAGTCAAGCTTAGGAAAGCCTTGTAGGCTCTGAGAAGTGTAAAAAATCACTAACTTGTTGTCACACTCACGGTGCCTTTGATTGGGCTTCCTGATTATGTCTGAGAACAGACAGGGCAGAACCTCTTAGATATCCTTTAACAGTACCAGTCCTGAGGCCAGCGGGGCCGTGTGGACTCACGGGCCAAACTGCACAACGTAGCTCTATCTGGTCCTCTAGTCCAGGGGCTTTCCCCTTGCCGGCTACTCCTGATCGGGCAAACGAAGATTGCATCAAGCAAACTGTTAAGAGAATGATTAATTTTTCCATTCACGGACACTCAAAAGTGTCCTGCAGTGGCGTGGAAAACACGCGCAGTTTGAGGAACTCATTGTTGGTAGGCAGAAATATCCTGTTGGCTATTCCTTAAAACACACATGCATGAAGACACGTAGAGAGCTCGATTTCCTTTTACATAAGCAGTGGTGAAATGCGGCCCATGAGGAGTTTGCAAACGGCCAGGACACTCTTTCAGTCCTTCCTATACACGCGTACAGAGGACGCTAACAGCTTTACCCATCCCCATTCCATCCAGTACTTCGTGTACTTTTGATTATGTACTCACATGCCAATCTTCCCCATTCAAGCTCTTTTGGGAGGGAAATCATGTTTCCCCCCTTTAGTCCTTAGCACAGTTACCAGCTCTTGGGAGGTGCTGTGTGTTTAAATCAATGAAGATTACTGTGCAGTGATGCATGCAGCTGGAAGTTTGGATTAACATTCAAGAGGTGGACTCTGTCACTGAAGTTTCCCTTCGGAGCAGCCGGGTCGGTGGGATGGTCGGATGGGTGAGAAAATGCAAATCGATGTAAATCAAAAGACGCCGCCCCGCTTGCCGCCAGCCCCAGCCCCCATGGTCTCTAGGTGGTTGAGGCTCTTTCTGGCTTCCAGGACTTCTAACTGGAGGAGAGAGAGGTAGTTCCAGAGCAGAATGAAGAAGTTTGGAGCTGTTCATTTCTCTAACAGGCTGCACTCTAGGGTGATTCAGAACCTGCCCAGTCATGGGACCAGGCTTAACAGCTGTTGAGCGTAATTTCCTCAAAATGTCTGTCTTCCTAGGAAAAGGACAGGTTAAGATTTATGATAAAAGGTAAAATTGAGAGAGAGGAAAAAAACACACCACCCTGCTATATGCATAGGAAATAGTAAAAAAAAGAACAATTTAACCACCACCCCTCCCCCCTCAAAATGTAGGTAAAAGGCAAAATATGAGAAAAAAGCCAGAGGGAATTCAGTTAGTGAGAACACAGAGTTCTGAGTGGGGGGGAAAGTGACTCAGCAAAACCAAAGTAACATCTGGCAGGGTTAGTCATGAAGAAATTGGCAGTAGTGGTGATGGCTTCTTGTGAAAATAATTATGTGCTATCCAACCAAAATTTGTTTCAATCAAAATTAGCTGAAAACCTGTACAATAAGAATCTGTTACCCTGACCGTCCCACATGCTCCTGCTCACCAGCTCGGTCACTCAGTCAGTCAGTGACCACACAGCACCGAGATTTGGAAAAACACTATTTTTACTTATTTATTTATTGGTTAGTTAGTTACTTAGTTTGAGACAAGTTCTTATTAGATAGCCCTGGCTAGCCTGGAACTAAGTGTAGACCAGGCTGGCCTCCAACTCACAGAGGTCTACTTGCCTTTACAACCTAAGTGCTGGGATTAAAGGCATGTGGCTTAAAAACCCTCACAATTTTAGAGAAACATCTTCTAGTCTAAGTCTTGTTTTTTTTTTTTTTCAAACACAAGGCTTAGTAGAGTGTTTGATAAACACACTTTCATAATGATCAATAATTAACGTTTTATTGTGTACATGCAATGATGAGAGATAAATTACAAATGAATCTCAGTTATGATCTTAGTTTTAAAAAATCCACTCAAAAGAAACCTTTAACCTGTACTTTTATTAATACAACACCATGTGGCTTAAAATTTTGTAGGGTAGCAGTTTCTGCAAGGATGCCTTAATTCTCAACTTCTGAGACTTCTCACTGAATTTGATGTATAGAAATCCACTCAACAGATACTCGAATGCCTAACAGCTGCTGGATTCTGTACTAGACTACAGATGTGCAGACTAAAATAGAAAGTCCCTCTCCCGTGAAAATACATCATCTTCCCTACTTGGGTTTTAATGGGTTGAATGCTTTTCTGTCAGCACGTGGAGTGGAGAGGAGACCATTTTCATAGTGTTGTTTATTGATAAATTTTCTTCTACTCCCTCCCAGGCAAAAAACTTTAAGCCTGTCATGGTCAGTCCTTCTAAAAGGCATTTTTAAAAGATTCATTTTCTTTTTTTTAAGAGGGGGGGACGACGACAAATGCCTGTGCAGGTCAGGAAAACTGAGCTGGATGTCCTGAAGAGAGTTCTGCAGATGGCTGTAAGCTTCCCAGAATTAGTGCTAGAAACCAAACTCAGGTCCTCTGCGAGATCAGCACATATTCCGAACTGCTGAGCCATCTTACCAGCTCCAGACAGGAATCTTCCACTCAGAAAATTACCTAGGAGTTTGAAAATCCCTTGAGTGAGTGAAAAAAAATTAATGAAATAGCCAACTTGAAAGCTCATGTGCAGTTACATTTCAATCTTGTTTCTGTATTTACTTGTTGACATTTTCTAATAGCCTAGTTCATTGATGTTTTGAAGTCTATCCAGTCACTTTTGCCTTTGATGATGATGCTTCGTCTTCTCCTGAGTCTTTGTGCAGGGAAGCTCTCAAGGCAGAGAGTAACTCTCAGTAAGTGAAGATATGTTACAGAACCATGTGTAATGCTTAACTGGTTGTAACTATCATCTTAAACCATTATTGTTTAACTTAGCATATTGTAACAGCACACAGAATGGCTCCTACTCTCCACCATTAGGAGGCTCTGGAGTGTATAACTAGCCAGAAGAGAGGGCAAATACTCAAGTCTTAGGAGGAAAGAGCAGGACTGAGGAATGGGCTACACTGCCTTGTCCCACTAACAGACTGAGAACGTGCTGAAGAACTCTTTGGCCTTGGCAATACACGGGCTTCCTAGCACACAGCAGGTCCTCATGTCCTTAAAGCTTTGCTTACAGCATAAGAGCTGCTCAGGACCCTCTGGGGAACTCTCTTCTGCCCAGGTCATCAGAGAAGGTTCTTCCAAGGAAAGAAGAGTTGGAGCTATGTCTTTGTCCATTTGGGCCACTCTAACAAAATACCTTAGTGCTCACTTGGTAGCCTATGCACAAGAAGGAGAGAATGGAGAGGAGGGAAAGAGGGACAGGATGGACAGGAGGACGGGAGGAAGAAGGGAAGGGACCCTTAGACTGCACAGTTTACAATAACAGAAGTCCCAGTGTCCCAGTGCCAGAGGCTGAGAAGGCCAGCAGTGAAGATGAAGGTGCCCACAGATTCAGGGTTTTTCAAAGCCTAGTTCTGGGCTTCATAGATGGTGACTTGCATCCTCACATAGTAGGAGAGGACAAGTACCTCCCCCACACACACACACACCTTTTCATAAGGGTGCTGATTCTTTATATAATTCACAAGAATGAGACCTTTTGACTTAATCACCTCCAGAAAACCCTTCCCACCTCCCATTGATACGATTGTACCCTGCAAAAGGTTCCAAGACATGAATTTTCAGGGCACACCAACATTCAGATCATGGTAAACTGGAAAGCAGAGGGACAGCAGAGCCTCGGGCAGAGGGCTGAGGTCTGTGGGCAGATGCCAGGTTTGGGAACACAAGAATCCTGTAGGTGAGACAGGTGTCTCCACATTAAAGCCCCAGGGCAAAGCCTGAGGCCGGCGTCACCAGGCTATCCCCGAGGAAGCTCACTCTTCCACTTATAAAATGTCAGCAGAATTGAGAACTGAAGAATTGAGTTGAGGTCCCATAAAAAACAAACAAACGGAGCAGAACCCCTCACCTACAGATGGGCAGGGGAGAAGCGGAAGGGGCATCTGTAAGAAACCATGAAAGAGGGGCTGGAGAGATGGCTCAGTGGTTAAGAGCACTGGCTGCCCTTCCAGAGGACCGGGTTCAGTTCCCAGCACCCACATGGCAGCTCACAACTGTAACTCCAGTTCCAGGGGACCCGACACCCATGGCAAAACACCATTGCACATAAAATGAAAATAATAATAATAAGAAGAATAAGAAGAAGAAGAATAAGAAGAAGAAGAAGAAGAAGAAACCATGACACAAGTCGAGGTGGGGTGATTGTCTTGGGTGGAGCAGGAAGCGGGGCTATGTCTGGGCACACAGGAAGGTAGCACCACAGGTCAAGACCACAAAAAGGGGGCAGCTTAGATGAGCTTAGGGACTGCTAGCACAGAGTAGAAAGTGGGGCACAGCTTAGAGGGGGAAATGAGGCTGGAAAGAGAAATCGGGAACCATGCTGAACAACGTCTCCTAGAAATATCTACAATATTAGCAACCCTAAAACAATTAACAGGAGCTGCTCAGCCTGATATAAAGAA